ATTGTAGCATGTGGTTATTTCGTAACGAATATGTTCATGTTGTAGCTATATGTGTACGCGACACTGCGGCCCACCGAGACTGAGCGTGGGCAACCTTATATCGCCACTCTTGTGCTGCTCAATGATGATCCTGTCCCCGCGTTGGATGACCTTGCTAGGGACAGTGTTGCTCCGCAGTTCCAAGCAGAGCGTATAGGCACCCCCGAGGGTGATACTTCTACGGAGGCCCATGACGGTGGCGGGACCAGTGGTGAGGAGGAGTTAGGAGTCGATGAGAGCGGAGAGGAAGAAGGTAGGGACTCGGAGGAGGACGACAGTGAGGATAGTGACGGCGATCGAGTTGGACGAAGTGGGCAGACGGGGACTCCCCCCCACCAGCATAGAGCTACTTCTCCCATGGCACCGTCCACCTCTCATGTACGACCTACTGTAGCGGCTGCATCAAGTCTCACAGCAGATGATGTTCAGGGGATGTTGCTAGATCAAAGAATTCTGTTTGAAATGCGGCTCCGCACTGTGAAGCTCGAACTCATGCAGCACATGTCAGATGAATTTAAAAACTTGAAGGACTTCATATCCACCCTCGTCCCAGCATTCGGCTCTACAACCACTGCATGTGCGACTGATGTCGACCCCGAGCCCAGACAATCAGGTACTTCACCGTATGCATATTACATTTCTTTATGACAATGTTCACTTTATCCCTGCTCACTGACATGTTCTGTACGACAATTGTTCATTCATTGTAGACTACGGAGGCTTTGCAGGCCACCACCCGTCGCCTGACGGTATCGACGAAGACATGGGGATTGACAGGCAAGAGGGGGATGGTATGTGCATTAATGAAGAACACATGGAGCCATGCCTGGATGAGCAGGATATGCCACTGGCCACTGGAACCGAAAGTGTGGAAGGTACGTCGGTTACTTTTGAGCAAATTGATTAATTATCATTTCATGTTTTTCGGAAGTTTTGAAAATTGTTAAAATTCACTTGCCATTCACTGTTTCGTTGTTGTTCTGAATAGACATAGCGCACATTCAGCCATGCCCGGAGGATCGCCCCGTGCCAGAGCCCTCTACAATGGAAGAAGTGCAAGGTATTGCATTATTTTTCACGATTTCAACAAATATTATTTCAGGCATTCGATTAGTTTACAATTGTTCATTTGTTGTAGTCGAAGGGGCCCACCACCCATCGCCTGGCAACTGTGAGAAAGAGAAGGACATGGTGCCTACAGGAACCATAAATTTGCAAGGTATGTGGGTCATTTATGAGGAAAACTTGTAGATTGTTATTTCATGTACTTGGCATAATTTGAAAATTCGTACATGTAGTTATACACTGAAAATATTTAATTGTTCTTTTCGACAGACACAGTACACATTGAGCCATGCCCTGACAATGACCTCGTGCTAGCGCTTGTTGCAGTGGATGAAGTGCAAGGTATTGCCTTAATTTCGGACAATTGAATTTAATTTTCGTTCCTTTTTTTTTTTTTTTTGGTTAACGAAAAGCAAAGAATTAAAAAAAAGCAAAAAATAAATCCTTTTGTTGGTTGATTTTCTTCTTCTCAGTTGTGGTTGGGGGAATTTTTTGTAGCTGAATGTGGCTATGGATGTGGGTGCCTAACTTTTGAATTTGAATTCAAAATTTTTTTTGTTAAAAGGAAAAGGACTTGTTCAGAACAAGAAAAAGATTAAGAAAGAGGAAGGAAAGAGAAGAAGAGATTAAGGGAGAAGAAATAAAAGAAAGGGGGGAGAATGTAGAAGAAATTTGGGGAGCAAATGTAAAGTTATTTCATAATCAAAGTAGTATTACAATGCGTTAAGTCCCTTTACATTGGGTTTCAAGGAACATATTCTTTTAGCATGAAACGTCTAATAAAATCCTAGGAAATGTATTAATTTAACTTATTCTAAGTAGGAAGCATCTAATAAAATCATAGCAAATCTAGGAAATAAGCCCTAATAACTTTTTCTAGAATAAGAATCTAAAAATGGAAAGTTGAATGAAGGAGATCTTTGGGTCTGGTTTTTTCCCTTCAGCTGCCATTGCCATTGTCATGATAATTCACTAACTTGGGTGGATACATTTTTGAGAAATTCCCTGCATGAGTTCAATTACGATGAGCACATAATAATCTAATAATATTTCCATTAACATAATATAGTATAATTTAATATATTAGCACGAGAGAGAGAGAGAATAATGTTGATAACATCATTGTTCTCAAATCCCCTTGTTTCTAGTTTTCTTCCAAACGCATTTTTTTTAGCGCATCTTTACAACTGAGAACTTTTCACCTAATTTTGCATTTGAGCATCGGAAAAGATTTTTCTAATATAAATAATCACATTATTGTTATCAGTTGAACATCTTTGATATGTGGATTTTGAAGAAATTAAACGGATTAAATAAACAAGCTGTTGTATGAAGTAGGTATCAAGGTTTCTTGTCTTTTCCAGTAATAATATATAAAATTGGCATATGGTCGCAGTCCTTTATTGTCTTTTGAATGTTGTCCTTTACCTTTAGTAGCTCTCTCCGCAAACAAATGGCATTGAAGGTTTTCCTTTCATGACCTTTCTCTTCTTCATTCCTCTTGTTTCTGCAACGTCTGCTTCCATCCATGGTGACCTCCCTTTGTCCTGTTCGCTTCTAAATCTAAGGCCCCGTTTGGTAGGGATTTTTTGCCCAAAAAAATTGATTTTTTGACCGTTATTTTACTATTCAGGCTGTAATTTTTGACTTCTTCTCTCACATGTGGACCCCACTTTTCTTCTAACGGTCAAAAAATCAATTCTCAAAATCCCTACCAAACGGGGCCTAAGGATGGAATCCAGATTCAGATCCCTTACCTGAACTGATGTTATGTCATGTCGATACGAGTCTGTTGCCCAAATAGAAAAGTCTAAGAAATTTTTACAGATGGGGTGAACACCCTGAACTGTAGGTCAATCAAGTAAAAAGAATCATTGGGAACAATAATACGAAATACCTCTTATCACTTTTTATGCTTTGACCATTTAATAGTTATCCCATTCGTTGCTAGTCTCTTATTTATCAACTCTTGCTTATAAAGCAAACTTAACTATAATAAAAAAGATGTTTCTAATCTATTGAAACTCTTCCTAAATCACTCCCTTGAAGCTAGGAAGTATTAGAGATTTCTTCAAGCAATAGGTTTAAGGTATGAATGATACATAATGACCAAATATGATAGGCCTTCATAATATCAACAAATTCTCAACGACCATATTATTGGAAGCATTCATTTACAATTGAAACACATTTCTAGCCTTAACCTCTCAAATACATTCATTTATGTAGTTATATATGTATTGACCAGAGCATCATCCAAAACTTCCTTTGAGAACGAAATGTGGTTCATCTTACAGCTGATATACAAATTCATAATGCTTCTTTTTCTATCACTCCAAGCATTAGACATTGTAGAAAACCCAATATATTTCTAGGTGTCTTCTTGCTTCTTAACAATTTCTTTTGCTCTCCCATCTCCTTTCAAAAGGAGCTCCCTTAGTTGGTATTGTGGAAGAGTGTAACTCGATCCATATTGACCAAGATCTTCAACAAATCTTTGGAAGCTATTTTTTCAATAGCATTAAAAGGAATTTCAGCTTCGTATACCCATCTTGTAAATGTTGTAGAACTTCTAATAACGTTTTCTCTGAATTTGTACAAATTGATCAGTGGAACCCATGTTAGTAGGCCTTTTCTTAGTTCCTTGTTCAATAATAGAGATTTCATCTTCTTCCTTGTGTATTGTAGACAGAACTAAATCACCTTTCAACATAGCATCATTCAATAGCTTCTCTAACTTCTTAAGCGTTCATCAAGCACCTCACGATGCTTAGTGTGTGTTTGGTTTGCCGTTTTGAAGTCATTTTAAGTTTTTAGTTTTTTAAAACACTCAAAATGTGTTTGGTATGTTATGTCAAAAATGTGTTTTTGAAAACAAGAAAATTTTACAATATAAAACTCAAAATGACTTTTCGACACGATCGAAATTAAAAAATTTTCAAATTAAAATAATTAATAAAATCACACAAAACCTATCGAAATACAATTTTGAAATTTATATTTTTTTCGCTTACATATTATCATAAAATTGATATGCCTTACTAAATAATCAAATTAATTGAAAAAAATATCAGAAAACTATTTTTAAAAATTCTAAACCAAGCGTTCTTTCTTGTTTTTTGTTTTTGGAAACATTTTTTCCAAATGACAAATCAAGCTCGTTTTCTGCAATCTTATAAATCCTGTAAAATAGAAATTGTATTCAAAATTAAAAATAGAAACGCAAACCAAACGCACCCTTAGCTTTTTGCTCTTCACTTGCTCCAAGGCATGGTTTCAAAACCTCTCCCTTGATCCTTTCTATGTGGATTTTGTGCCAAAGATGAAGAAAGAAAGACAGTAAAATAGAAACACAAACACATGGGGTTTAGGAAAATGAAGATATGGAGCTCTTACAAGGGAAAATGGATCCAGGAAATTCCCAGCAATAATTTTGCCATCGCCTTCTTTCTTCACTGATTCTTTCACTTCACGGTACAAAACTTTATTGCTTTCTAATTTTTCAATAGCCAATACGTTTGAAGAAGAATTTTGGCTCTGGAATTGAATCCCTATTTGATCAAGTTGGGAATAATTATTCTATATAACCTTAATAAATTTGGACCCAAAAAAAAAAAAAAAAAAAAAATGGTGCGAGCTTTTGGGCACCCATGTTTCTTTAGGCTGTCAAAATAGGGTTAACTGCCTTTTTCCACACCTTCCCCATATGCGGAGCTTTTTCTGTCTGTTAGAACACTGATTAAGATAATCCACCCCCAACCCAAAAAAAAAATAGAAAGGAAAGTAACGGGCAAAAGAAAAAAAACCAAGAAAGCACCATCAGGTGTTTAAGAGAGAAAACTCGCTACCTTTTATTCAATCCTTCTCTATCTTATGTCTTAATATAAAATACCTTACTACTAATTCTAAAACTGTGTTGCAATTTATAGCAGATTAAACAATCAGCAAAAGCAGAGACCATTCAGAAGAGAAAGAGAGGAAGGACACCGAAGAGGTTTATCAAAGGTTCCCAAGATCCAGTGACTGGTATGCGGTCGAATCCTTTTCAGTTACTTCCTCCTCCTTCCTTATATCCTACCTGATAGTTAAAACTGAAAGGTTGTAGTCTCGTAATGTTACTAGTGGATAAATTTTGTATTGTAGACAATGGGCAAAGTGGAGATGTTGCTTCTGATGGAATGGTCACACAACCAAATTCGGTTGATTCACTTAGAAATGCTGAAGTGGTGGTGACAAGGACTGAGGCTTCATTGCCTAATCAGGAGAGCATAGTGCTCAATGAGGATTACGTGGAACTAATTAAGGGTCAGCCTGAGCCAATAAATAGTGTTGGTGATATGACGAACATTCCATTTGTGAAATATTCTGATAAAAATGTTGTTAAAGATTCAATAAATGCATGTGAGAAGCATTCATCAAAAAGAAGAAAAATGCTGATCATAGGTGAAAAGATTGTGCCTGAACTTCAAGTTCAGCAATTGCTCTTTCATAATAGTTCTCTTTTGTGGATGATACTATCATTTTTTACCTTTTTATTGATCGCATATAGAGATTCTTTATCAATTTTTAGACACACACACACACACACAAAGCAATGGCAACAACTTCCCTGTGTCCTTCTCCACTTTTACTTAGCATTCTTGTTTTAATATACTTTTTGGCCTTCTATAGATTCTTCATCCAGAGGGAAAACCACTGAATTGAACTGCATAATGAAAGAAGTTGAGAAAGTAATTGCTGAAGTGCCCCATAACGAGGATGATCATAACGAGGATGATAATGAACTGCCTTCAAACTTGAATGAGGAGATGCACGGTCCATCTACTTTTGATACCTCAAGTAAGCTGAATTGCATGTTCTTGGTGCACCCCAAAGTTTCTGGTAATTTGGCTGATGATATCAGATTTTTTTCAGGAATTTTGCCGGTGAGGACTATGGAGCAATGTATGGTAAGCAGCAAGAAACAAGAAAAACCTTTTGAGCTTACTAATCGATGTGAGACACACAAAGGATCTGGGATGCAGGCTTCTGGATTTGAGGATAATGGAGCAATTGTGCTGAGCGAGCAGCAAATCTTGCCTTTCGTGAAGAAAAATGTACTTTGGAAGACAATTGAATCCATGGAAATTTTTGGAAAGGCACCACAGAAACCACATTTCCAGCCTCTGGAACATTTCAAAGAGAGTTTGCGTGAAGGCTTAGCTATAGGTTATATGGTAACGTTCGCTAGTGTGGTCGAGAAAGCTTCCAAGTTGCTATTTAATGATCCTAAAAGCATTATGGTTGACATTTTGGAGACGCTTTCAGATCTGGAGAAGTATGGATTTGATGTTGGGGTAGTGCGAGACCGTGTACTTGAGTTGATAGCTATGAAAGATAAACATGAAAAGCTTCTAAGCCAGGTAGAAGAACTTAACAGTCAAATTGCCCAACAGAATCTTGAGAAAAGTAAGATAGATGAAGAGATTGGCAAGATCAGCACACAGATAATCGAGTTACAAAAGAAGCTATCACTTGCTGAATCATCTAAAGAGTTGAAGGGTCAAGCAATTGCCTCTTTACAGTCCAGACTGGAAGAAATTGAAGAAAACATCAGGACCGCAGAGTTTGATTTTGAAGGCTTGGCTGCTAGACCGTTGTAGTTGTCATGATAAAAATTGTAAATGTTAAGGTGATAAAGATGATGTCAATTTTATCGAAGGCAGGACTAGAACAATTTATTTATCTTCCCATTCATATATTTTTGTGATGACTCTTAACATGAGAAGAATGTAGCATTTGAAACCAGATTTTCTGAATCTGAAATTTCTCTATTTGCCTCAAATATTTCCCTTTGGTGTGGTGAAAACTTTGAATTTATAGCTACGAGACTGAAATACTTTTTGAGATGCTCTTGCAGTTACATATTTCTGTGCAGAAATCTTCAAGTGTAGTCGGCCTTTTGCTTGATGAGGCTTCTTTGACAGTTCATTCATGTTCAGTATAAAGTATTGAACGATAATGGTTGAACTAATTATAAGTGGCATTGAACTGTAGGATTTCTATTTTGCTGTGCAACTTGTTCTAAATATAAAATCTGCAATGGGAAAAGGAATATTCATAAACGTGGAATATTTCACTACCTTCTCTACGAATTAACAATAATTTCTTCTAGAGTTAATTTCACTTATGGTCACTTTAAGTTCGTAATAAATTTCAAATGGTCGTTGAAGTAATTCTTTTACACTAGGAATAATGTTATCTAGGTGCTAATATTGCTTTAGATGGCATAATGTGATATGTTAAATTAAATGTAGAATTATACAGTTCATTTAATTGTCCCTCATTTAATTCCACTTTGTTTCACATAAAACATATGTTTGTAAGTGCCAAATATTTTTTTATGTTGGAACAAAAAAATTGACAAACATGTCTTTAGTTAATGGAACCACGATTAGGGATGTCAACTGGGTCGAGCGATTAGTTGGCTCAGGCATGAGCCCAAGCTGATGAGTCGTGGGGATCGACCCAGTTGGCGAGCCAAATTGGCTCGACTCGCCCACAAGGCTCGTGGGCTCATCACATGCAAGCCTCACATGAACAGTGACCGTTGCAAATTGTGAATGAACTTCGAAAGGTGGCCAGAATGGCCACATTATTTTTTTTCTTCTATAAATACCCCACACTCATTTTCATTTTTTTCATACAACAATATAACATTTCAAGTTTCCAACAACTCTCTTTCACACTCTTCCACAATTCTACAATATACAACATTCATTTTTACAAATTTATCTTCAATTTTAATTATTCAATATCAATTCATTCAATTATCACACTATGATTTATAATTACAAATTCACAATCTTACACACATTAACTCTCTTTTCATACTCTTTACTTAGTTAAGCCTTAATATTTATTATAATGTCTATACATTTTAATTTCATCACAATTTACAAATGGATCCACACTCATTTGTTGAAGGCTTGCTCGATCTTGNACAATATAACATTTCAAGTTTCCAACAACTCTCTTTCACACTCTTCCACAATTCTACAATATACAACATTCATTTTTACAAATCTATCTTCAATTTTAATTATTCAATATCAATTCATTCAATTATCACACTACGATTTATAATTACAAATTCACAATCTTACACACATTAACTCTCTTTTCATACTCTTTACTTAGTTAAGCCTTAATACTTATTATAATGTCTATACATTTTAATTTCATCACAATTTACAAATGGATCCACACTCATTTGTTGAAGGCTTGCTCGATCTTGAAGGCGAATCACCGACGACATCGCAAAGTCAATTCGGAACAATTTTTTGCCTAAATGAAGTACCCATTTCTCGAAGATATTCCAAATTTGCCTGCTCATGGAAGCAATAATCCAATTGATTTAGATGACGTTAATATTCCCGAAGCGAAATAGGAGGAGAAACCTGAATTAGACATTCCCGATACAAGAGGAAGCAAAAGGGAAAAAAGCAGGCAAAATGTTGAGATCACTTTAAATTAATTTCAATGGGTCGTGTAGTCGATGGAGTCGCAGAGTCTAAGCAGTATGTAGATACTGTTAACAACGATTGGCATGGCAAAAAGGCATTGGTACCAACCACCTTAACCGTCACTAGGAAGCATGTGCAGCCAAACATGGACTTTTTGAAGCCAGTCAAATGCAAATGCAATTTGGTTTCATAGGCACTGGTTCTACAACTTTGCCCCTCACTAAATGGATGTATACAGAGGAGAATGCTCAAACAGGAATGGTGAAACTTGTTGCTGGTGTCGAGTTGCCTCTAAAAATAGCGAACAACCAACATTTCATTTTGTACATAAAAGAATATCTTCAACCGAGGTACATTAAGGTAAGTTGAAACATTCTTCGTTCAGACGCAATAGAATATTTCCTTCAAACAAAACAACAATTAATTATGAATTTGCAAAAATATATGGTGTTATATCTTTAACTTCGAATATATAGAAATGGATTAATAAAAGAGCTTATATGGCTGCAATTATACACTATATATACCCACTTTGTTGTATGCATAAAAAAAATATTGTTTTTAAAATTATTAAATTCTCTCACAACACTAACAATACATATAATGCTATTATAAGCATTGTAAGATAATATCATTACAAGAGTAAAATTCATTCTTTTACATTTGACAATGCTAGTGTTAATAAAATAGTTATCGATAAATTGTGTGGAGTATTACAGCCTGATTTCGATGGTTATTTGTTTCATATTCATTGTGTATGCCATATTTTAAATTTAAGTGTGCAAGATGGTATGAAACATATTAAAGATGAAATGCACTAATATATATCACGATTTTCCCTAGTAGAAACAAGCTTTTGTGGAATTTTTTGTCAAATTTGGGGTGATGAATACGAAAAGATTTATTAGTGACGTATGGCATAGATGAAATCTCACTTATTTTTTATTAAAATCATCAGAAGGTTTTGAATATTTAATAAATGAGTTTTTATAGCAATAGGCATATAAAAAATAATGACGACACTATTTTAAATGAATTCGATAGGTTTTTACTTTTAAAAGTTAAAATTTTTTTGACAAGTTTTTATGGCTCTATAAATATTGTATCTAGAGTTTACTATCCCAATAGTTGTATGATGGTTGAATGTCTTTATATAATTGCGAGGACATTTCAAAAATATAAAAATGACCCTGATTTTAGTACAACTATATAATCTATGCAATTAAAGTCTAAAAAATACTGGAAAGACTTGCCTAGGTTATTTCGTTTAGTATACATCATAGACTCCTGATATAATTTATCAAGGACTAAATATGTAATTGATCAGATTTCAAGAGCTTTAACTTTTAATACATATAACACATATAGAAATTAGAACAAAATTGATGTGAAATGTATGAATTATATACAGAACGAATAAGTACAAATATTAGTCGAATACCCTCTTACCTTCCATTGATAATAAAAAAGATGATGCTGAAATATTAACTTTATTCGAAGGCATTAACACGTATAAATATGATCCAAACGCAATAGGCTCATCTAGTAATAGTTTGTCTTTTGCATTAATCAAACATTGGATGCAAGTTCAAATATATTGCCTACTAAATTAATTGATTACTTTAATCATAATGTGCCTACCAATGAAACAATTAAAAAAAGTTCAGGAGTAATTGAATTCTGGTGAAGATACAAACGACAATGATCAGTGGTTTCTACAATTTCAAAAGACCTACTAATACCTCCGGTTAGCACTGTAGTTTCGAAGTCTGCTTTTAGTGAAGGTAAGAAGGTTTTGTCAAGGTCAAGAGTTGATTGAAAAAAGATATTTTGGAAGCATTAATGTGCGTGAAGGATTGGCAGGTTGCTCATTTCCGACCACAAGCTAAATATGTCAAAATTACATATCGGATAACACAACAATACAAACATCCTTTTGCAACGTTCAAAAAATGTTGAACGTCTTTTGCAACATTTGAACGTATGCTACAAATTTCGATGTTGTCGTAAAGTAGAAGGATACAACAATGTTTTTTGAATGTTGCGAATAATGTTTTTGCAACATAAAAAATGTTGTGAATAACATTTTTGCAACGTTTTTTGGATGTTTATAATAATATTTTTGCAATGTTTTTTAAATGTTACGAATGACCTTTTTTAACGTTATTTGAACGTTATGAATGACCTTTGCAACATTTTTTGAACGTTGCTAATAACATTTTTGCAACATTTTTTGAACGTTGCGAATGACCTTTTTGCAACCTTTTTAGAACGTTGCTAATAACATTTTTGCAACGTTTTTTAATGTCGCGAATAAAATTTTTGCAACAATTTTTAAGCGTTGCAAATAACATTTTCGTAACATTTTTCAGAGCTACTAATAACCTTTTTGCCACTTTTTTGCTTGTTGTCTATGATTACATCCTTATTTTTTACAACATTTTGCTGACCGTTGTCATAGGTCATTTTACATTTGTTTTTCAAAATTTTGTATTTTTTTTAATTTGTAAAGCGATTTATACAAAACAAGATAGAAGATAGCAATATCAAACAACTCCAATAATCATTATTAATTGGCTTTGAAATGTAACAATATACGTACAAAATCAAGATTCAAAAGTTTGAAATAGCTAAAAATTCGATACATTCCCCAAAAAAGAAAAAAGAAATTCCACAAGCCCTGTTGAGCAAGTTCTCCATCAAGCTCCTTATAAATTTTGATAGCTCATAATATGCAAATTTTATAGAAATAATAAACAGATTCTATGACAACGAGCATGTATTCCATATTTTTTCCCGTTAGAATTATATTTACTAAGGCAAATTGGGTCTAATAACAATTTGCACTGTACACTATATTTTTATGCTTGAGAACTTTAAGCCTATGTTTGGCCTCCTATTTTTTAAAAACCCAATTTTTTCAACACTCATTGTAAACCACATATTTTTTATAAAATAATTTTACACGTAAATCAAAAAAATTCTTTTATTTTTTACCAAACATTCTCCAAAAAGTTACTATTCCAAAACACATTTTCTCAAAATAAATGGGGCTCAAACAAGGGCTGATAGTAAATGCAAGCTATATAAGTGGAAAGCACACCTAGAAATCCACTCAGGAATAAATAAGGCTAAATATTTCATCTTTAAGGTAGGGATGGCAAAATGTCTCGAGAGCTCGGGCCGCTCGTGGCCTGGCCCGGCTTGAGACTTGGGCCCATCTTGGGTGTAAAGGCAAGCCCAAGCCGGCCCGTGTGGCTCGCAGGTCGGCTCGAAATTTGAAAAAAATTGTAACAGCTAGCTACTGGCTCCACACATG